AGAGCAAATTTGGACCAAGAAATTATGCCACTGATTTTAATGAAAAGCAATCTGGTCCACTGTTTATAAATAAAATCTTTGGATCACAACTTGCATTCCAATTGGCTTAAAGGACACAAAACCCAAAATAATTTGTGCTAATGCAGGTTTGTGCACCATTTGTATAACATATAACATCTACAACAGTATTTATAGCTAGATATTATATAATCTGGATTTATGTATGTATGTATATTTATTTGTTTGTTTGAGAAACACTATGGACTCCAATTTTGGGGCTGGCTAGGGACTGAGCCAACTATAAGCACAAGTTAGAACAGCCTCAGTGTGATTATACCACAGAGTCCATTGGAATGCTGTGTTCCATAGCTCTGCTTTTATGACACCATCACTGGGACCAAGATCTGGTGGAGAAGCTCTATCTACATTGTTTTCTTCCGAGATTCTGAGACTCTTCTATGCCAGGGTTGGGCAATCATTTTTGATAGGGTGCCCACTCCAATCATTAGGTAAGTAGTTGAGGTCTGCACCCTTCCCTGATATTAATGGAAGAGGTGCAAGGTCTGGAATGGAGGTTGGGTGCAGAAGGGAGCTTGGGGTAAGGGACTGGGATGCAGGAGGGGATGTGGGATCTGGGAGGGAGTTAGAGTGAAGTATAGGGCTATGTCCTGGGGAAGACAACTGGGGTGCAAGAGGGGATGCAGGGGTTTGGGTTGTGACCTAGGGCAGGAGGGGGTTGTGATGTGGCTGCAGGATCTGGGAGGGAATAAGGGTGCAGGGAGCTGTAGAGGGTTTGGGTTATGTGGGGTAGGAGGGCAAAGGGTTGGGGTGTCTGAGGCAGGCACTGACTGGGGGACTTACCTGCTTGACTCCCATCCAGCAGCCTTCTCAAGCAGACTTCTTGACTGCCCCACCCTGCACTGGCTGCAGGAGCAGCCTTCCATGTGCTTCTGTGAATAGCTGCAAGCCTGAGGGGAAGTGGGGAGGAGTACTTCGCATGCTGCCTATTCTTCAAACAGGCAGCTCCGCCAATGGGAGCTGCAAGATTATGCTGCAAAATTATGCTGGAGTGGAGGCAATGTGCAAAGCTATTCAAAGACAAATAGGCCCTCCAGCCAGCTTTTCTAAGTGGTGTGTGTGTGTTGGGGGGGAGGGGGCAGAGCAGACAGGGAGTCTTCCTGAGGTTCCTGCTGCATCAGCAGGCTGGATTCAATGGCTTGGTGGGCTGTATTTTGCCCAGCTCTGTTCTACACCAAGATAAATCTCTAACAGCCTCTGTTAGTATAACCTTTTGGACTATCTTTCACTGCCTGAGAAGGCAAAATAGGCAGAAGCAAAGCCAAATATCTGACCTCATATGTTCAACAAGATTTCTGTATTGTCAGCCTAATAATTTATTTCATACAGTGGAAAAGATGGAAGCTATTTTTGAAATGTAAAATGGATAATTCACATTAAAAAACATGTTTTTGGTTCTAATTTAAAGACCTCCACGTATAAATTTTCCTCAAAATGTTTTTGTAAACCTAAATACAGAAAGTCTTGCCTTATTTGGTTTAGAAAATTAAACTTGGCTTCTCCTGATATGAAACAGAAACTGTGAGTTACATATTGGTTGACAATTTATTAGCAAATTGGCCTTAACTGATTTTTTTTTATTGTACATAGTTCTGTATGCATGTTAAGTAAATATGTCAAAATTCTTCTGAAAATACTTTGTCTTTATTAACAGGTTAGTGATATTTGTAAAAGCTAAAAGAATAAAAATACTGTTTTAGACTTAGAACAGTTCGTCCTTGTTCTAGGAGCTAAACTTTGCTTTAAAAGTGTCTCCCAGTTTGTCTCAACCTAAGCTGTGGAAAACCTCTCTGAACTGTACAAAAAGGAAAAAAATAGTTTGTTTTTCTTGTTAACTCCTTTTTTTTTGTATCCTGAATAACCAAAACACATTTTAGCTTCTTTGATGGAGATGGCTCTCCAGGAACAAAATATAAACTAATATTATTGAGATCTTCAAAATGAAAGACTCATACAAAGGAAAGCATTTTAAGAAAACATGATCAAAAGAAGTTGTGATCTCTTAGCTATGGGAAGGATTAGCTTTATGGCCCAGACTAATCTCAGCCACTCATTATCATTCAGAAATACATTTGATTATTTTTTAAAATTATACTAAACTCTCTGAGAAATGAAAGTTGTGATCCAGTCTCTTTAGTTGTGGTCCAGTCTCACAGTTGTTTATTTTTAGAGGCATATATCCTCTGAGAAAAAATATTATTTTTTATTTTAGTTTTATCCAATTAATATTTGAGGAAAAAGTGTGTAAGTTCACTTTATACTGTTTGCTGAAGACTTCATTTAGAATATGCTCCAGTCAAGTGCATTTTCTGGTCTTTGGGTTGCGATACAATGAATTCCCTCTTGAGTATTGTTTTAAAATCTTATTAGTCTTTTTAGTGCAAAAGCACAGACTGTGGTTTGGTTTGAAACATGGGTTTGAAACACAATACAAATGTTTAAATCTCAGTAAGAACACCAAAAACACAATCCATTTAATTCTGTGACCATCTATAGCTTTTTGTTAATGCATATCCAGTATGCAATACAATTTCAAAGTGGCTTTTCCACCTTACATCATTGCTTGTTTCAATACATAATACTCCTCCCACACCATATGGAGGACAGTAATAAAAAAATAGTGAGCTATCTATATCTATACCTCTAATATTTATAGGACTGATATGAACAAATGCTATAAAGATAAGAACTCTGTTTTCATGCTCTTTCTATTCAGTGGTGCACTAATTAAAATGTTCACATAGTAAATACATTCAGAATTGTGTTTACTATTTGCATGAATATCACAACTCTGATTTTGGTGACTGTGATGGCAAATTTTTCTCTATTCCCTGCACATTAATTATTGCCCCCCAATTCAGCAAAGCACTTAGGCACAGGATTAACTTTAAGTGCATGCTATCACTATTCAGCAGAGCACTTAGGGTGCGTCTACACTGTAGGGCTTAACTCGAAATAAGCTACACAAACTGAGCAACATCAATTGCATAGCTTATTTTGAAATAGCTTATTTCAAACTAGGGAGTGTCCACACAGCACTTAATTTGAAATAGAGCACTCTTCCTCTGACTTCCCTTACTCCTCGTACAATGAGGGTTACAGGAGTCGGAGTAAGAAGTCCTCCAGCTTGGCAGTATTTTGATACTATTTTGAAATAACTGCCTGCTGTGTAGATGCGGACTAAGTCATTTCGGAATAAAGCTAATTATTTTGAGATAAAGTTGCAGTGTTCATACCCTTAATTTTAATTTTGCTTCTCTGAAGTCAATGGGAATTTTGCAATTAACTTAAAACAGAAGCAGTATCATGCCTTCTTATCTCTATGCTTATAGGCCATTGGCCTCAACAGAACATAAAATGGACTTAATTGCTTTGTTGAATTAGAGATATGTATGTACTTATTTTGTATGTTCTATCCAAATGTAATTATAATTGTAGTGCAATGATTTCATGATTCAAGAGCTGGTGTGATGCAGAAAACTTAATCTAAATGTCAGTAATTCTCTTCTTATAATAATATAGCTATATCTTTGAATTATTTCAGGGTGAATTTTATTATCACTGTGTCCACTGTGGTTCAAATAAAAGCCAGTGTAATGGTGATAACAGAAAAATTAGTTTCAGGAGCATTCCTTTTTTTTAGGTACTGTATCATAAATTAATTAAACAAAAGGATGCTTTCTCACTTAATTCTTGTCTCTATAAAATACATAATTCATCTCCTTGAGCCATTGTTTACATTTCATATCACAAGGAATAATTTGAACTTTACAATTTGATTCCTTCTGTTACATTAGAACTGGGCAAATACTGCAAAACAATTTTTCAGCAAATATTTATTCAAATTTATATATGAAACTGCTTTGTTCTATTTGCTTTCTGAGAACAGTCTAATAAAATGTTT